TCACAATGGTGGGAGAAATGGTGGGAGAAGAAATGAAGAAACTTGCAAAATGTCTTTCTGTGGCACCTCATGTCACATCACAAGCTGAGTCTTTTCTGCAGCTGCTTTTTACTTATGCAACTGTAAATATGTTTATAATATTACCTTGCCTGGTTACTTGGCATCTTGAAGATCCTCATTCTCTTCTCAGAGTCCTGGCACAACGCATTTCATCAGGACTGTTCCACATGTATACCGCTAGCAAAATTTTGAACAGTATCCTAGAAAGCAGACTCAGCAGATGATTTAAATGGGCATGCAACACAACAGGATCTTCTAGTGTTGGTAGTTCAGTGAGCAGTGACGATGGAGCCTGTCTGTTGTGGCTCTTACTGTCCCTCAAGCAGTGAGTCCATGTTGCAGCCTCTCCATAAGACAGATCTCTCCTCTGCTCTGGTGTTCACATAAGGCATATGGGAACACATCTGAAACTTACAGCACTTGTGATATTGTAATTAGGTGAGGTGTTCAAGATGAGACACACTCATGCATACCACGAAACTATGTAATTTTCAGGCTCTTTAGGAAACCCATCCTTACAAGGACTAGCGTGATCTTTGGATGTGCAGAGATGTAGGGAGCTGATTTTATGTTTTTATCACAACCTTGTGGAGAGTGATACAAGAATGTGGCTTCCAGTTGGGAAAAACAACTGGAAACAACTTCTTTTAAAAGGTTGTTGAAAATTTTTTCAGAGAAGAGCCATGAAAATCACTGGGAAACTGGAGAAAAGTTTTCTTGGGAGGGGCTTCCATCTCTTGGCCTTAGCAAGAAGAGGAAGAAGAGTGTTGGTTATGTATATTTAATACCAGACCTTAAAAGCTCAAGCTAGCAGAGAAAGTGTCCTAAAACCCAAGGGAGGGAGATGCAAGCCAGACAAGCTAAAAATTTAGGGACAAAGCAAAAGGCATGCATTTTTATTAGCAATGAAAATGGTTACACATTAGGGCAAGTGAATAGTTCGGACTTTCAAATCAAGACTGGCACAGCCACTTTCTGGAGGCAGTCTCCTGCCAAGCACAAGTCATTTAACTCAGTACTATGCTCCATGCTGTGTAGAACGTCAGCTTAGGTGGTGTAATGGTGACATGTGGTGGTAAAATGTTCAGACCTATTTTTTGTGACCAAGGGGAAAACACTTCCACTCTGTCACAGCATTTCACTTTTTAATTATGTGCAGAAACATTTTAATAATTTATACTGCTGAATGTCCTGCTGTCCATGGCTGGAATCAGTCACGTCCAACTCAGTGAATTCAATGTGGTGAGGTAATCCTGAGTTGCCTGCTTTGCTGGGACCCACTCCAGAACATGGTGTGACCCCCTCTGTTCAGCCTCACCATAAGGTAGGTTACCTGGGGAGTGCAGTCCCATGCCTGGAGATAGTGTTTGCAGAATAAGGCTTTTATGCGTCATTTCCAGTGTGACATGCTGTTTGTTAGTGACTGAAATACCTAGAAGTCCAGCTCTGTTGGTGGGCTGTCTCTGAGACCTTGAGAAGAGAGCCCTTTTCTGCAGTTGTGCTCCCTGTTGCCAGTCGATTCACTGCCGTCATCTGTGGGAGCTCTCTGCTTCTATGGGGGGGCATGGCTGCGTGGTTATTGTTTAACACCACAGCCTGTTTTCAGCATTTACCCTTTTTTAATTTGCTTGGTCTCACTTCTTATTTTATGTTTCATTTTTCTCTTAAGTGTTTCAACTCAGCTTTTAGCTTAATGTAACGTGTTTATTACAGTAATCAGAAAAGATCCTTAAAACCAGGGATGATGTGCTCTGGCAAATGGCAGCTCAAAGGCAATCACCATTTAGAGTCAAAAGGAGGGAAATACATAGCCGCCCTTTGAATGTTTGTATATCTTTGCCTGTGAGACGATGTTATGAGACCACTTCCTTGGTAATTTAGTTATGCCACCTCTTTGGCCAAATTCTTCTTTGTTTCTTCAATATAAATCCAGGATAATCTCTTGGACTTCAACAGAGATAATTGGCTTTATCCTGATACTAACTGAAAGCAGATTTTGACCTGAATTTTTCATGAAATCTCTTCCCACTGAAGACAATGTCATTATGGCTGGGGCCCTAAGTGTGCTAAACGGATTTTTTCCTTAGCTCATATTTCTGTCACATCATATGTATTTGATTTACTTACATTGTTCTTATATTTAATCTCTGCCCATTTAGTCACATGTACTGTCATTTTTTATTTGTTTAGTAACTTGGTGCAGCTCAGGAAGGTAAGAGGGATGGATAGAGCGTGACAAGTTGCAAATATATTCTGCGCAGATCTCTTCTGCGGCTTGCTGTGTTTCAGTTTTAACACAGTTTGGTTTATGGGATGGGTTGTTTATTCAAATGCTTGGTTTATATAAGAGCATTTAGCAGCAGCTGTAAGTGTACTACAGAGAAGTACTTGATATGTTTCTTACTTATTTTTACTCTATTGTTTGTGAAGTCCTCCAGGAACTTCACAAAAAACCTTCCTACTCCTAGGGCCAACATTGAGGGTGTGCTGGGTTCAAAATGGAGAGGACCCTAATGAAATTCAGACTGTGTTTATCACCAGGTCTTTGGCAGCTGTGGAGAGAACAGAGTGAAAAACTGTCTCTGCTGGAGTTTTGCTGCTGATGCCAGTAGGACAGGATCTCAGCCCTACTCCCTGTCTGTGGGCTTTGTGGACACTTTAAGATGGTAACACAGAGCTGAACTTCTCTCTCTAGGAAAGGAAGATAGGCATCCTCCTGGTGAT